GGTCGGTACTTTTGTCTCTCTCCCTCCTCAATTAGATATAGCTGGCATTTTCTGTTTTCTATGGGCCAGTGGTACTTTTTCTTAAATTATCTTTTTCTGCTTTTTCTTTTCCCTCGACTTTATCTCTGTCGGCCTGTCCCTCCCTCAATAAGATACAGCTGGCATTTTCTGTATTCTATATGTTGGTAATACTTTTTTTTTAATTATCTTTTTGTTGTTTTTATTAATTATTTATTAATTTAAATAAAAAAATTTAAATTTTATAAAAAAACCAATGTTATAAAAAAATTTTTATAAAATTTAATGTGATTTAATTTTAAATTTAAAATAATTTTTAAATATTAAAAAATTAATAAAAAAAATTTTTTACTTTTATTTTTTAATCAATTTTATCTCTCCCTCCCCAGTTAGATACAGCTGGTATTTTTATTTTCTATGGCTTAGTAATATATATTTTTTTAAATCGGCTTTTTCTGTTTTTGCTTTCCACTCTACTTTTTCTGAATCATCTTTTTCTACTTTTGCTTTTCACTCAACTTTATCTCTCTCCCTCCTCCAATCAGATATAGCTGCCATTTTCTGTTTTCTATGGGTCGGTGATACTTTTTTCTGAATCATCTTCTTCTGCTTTAGGCTTTAGTCGATTTTATCTCCCTCCCTCTCCCAATCAGATACAGCTGGCATTTTCTGTTTTCTATGAATCCGTAACTATTTCCTAAATCTTTTTCAACTTTTGCTTTTCATCAGAACTTCAGAAACACTTTTTTATTGAGAAAAGTGTAAATAAAAATATTAATTTTTTTATTTAAAAATATTAATTTTTAATGTTAACTACGTTAGTATCATTATTTAAATAATTTTTAAATAAAAAAATAAAAATTAATATTTTTATTTAAAAAAATTAAAAATTAATATTTTTATTTAAAAATTAATAAAATTAATATTTTTAAATAAAAAATATAAAATTAAAATCTTTATTTAAACCTTTACTTCTTTTTCATTACTTATTTTCGGAAAAAAAATCTTTTCGTAATATTTTTTCCTGAATTACCCTTTTTTGCTTTTGCTTTTCACTACACTATGGTCATGTTCGGTATAGCGGTTTTGAGGTAGCGGTTAACGGTTTTACCTAAACCGTTAAATATAGGTGTTTAGTAAATTTACATATTTCGAAACCGCTATAAATAAAGTGTTTGGTAAAACTTTTATTTAGCGGTTTGAGACTAACGGATAGCGGTTAGAGTCCAAACCGCTAGCGGATTGAAAAAGCTAGTTTATATAACTTTCTATACCAAACCACTAACGATTAAAATTTTTTAATTTTATTTACAAATTTATCTATTTTAATTAATAATTATCTAATAAATTTCAATTTTGTTTTTTTACCTTTAA